GGGAGAGCGTCCGCTGCAGGAAGTAGATGACGGCGTCCTCTACTCCGATGTTGGGTCTGTAGGCGAACTGCAGCGGGTCCAGGGTGGGGCTGACCACGGAGCGGAGATGGGTGAGGATGAGCCGCTCCATGGTCTTCATCAGGTGGGAGGTCAGTGCGACTGGTCTGTAGTGAGCCGGTTCCTTGGCGTGTGATATTTTAGGAACCGGGATCACACAGGAGGTCTACCACAGGACAGGGACCTTCTCCAGGCTGAGGCTCAGGTTGTAGATGTAGCTGAGGACCTGAATTACAAGCACAGAGTGCGTTGCCAAAGGGCAGCGGCCATTTCTGCCATTTCTGCCCTTTCTGCCCACGGTCCAACGTTGTTACTATCAATTGCCACAAACCCCAGGTTCTTTTTAATACACTGACCTCTTTGATTAATCCATGCACTTCTCCCCCTGTAGTGGCCTCTTACAAACTATGCAATGATTTTATTGTATTTTTTAATGACAAAATTGCCTCCATTAGGCAGTCTCCGTTGTGTAAGCCCAGTTTTATGAATATAGATAATGGCTGTCAAAATGTATTTGAGTGTTTTGAAAATGTGTCCTTAGCATTTGTGACAGACATTGTAAAAAAGCTACGCCCGTCTTGTTGTCCCCTTGACTCCATCCCATCTCGTCTGTTTAAGGAGGTGTTCAACACAGTGGGGATTTGGGTCCTTAACATAATTAATGCATCTTTAAATTCAGGATGTGTACCTATCACACTTAAACATGCCGTGGTACAACCTCTTCTTAAAAAGCACAATCTTGACCCTACATGCTTGTCGAATTATAGGCCCATCTCAAAGTTGCCTTTTATTTCTAAGATCTTGGAAAAGGTTGTTCTCGTTCAACTACAGGACCATCTTGATATTTACAGCATCACTGAGAAGTTTCAGTCAGGTTTCAAAGCCAAGCATAGTACTGAGACTGCTCTTCTTAGAGTTCTTAATGATCTTTATTCAGTCTCAGACTCAGGCCGTCCTTCTGCTGTAGTTCTCCTAGATTTATCGTCAGCGTTCGATACGGTGGACCATGATATTCTTATTGCACGCCTCGAGCAACAAGTGGGCATCACAGGAACTGCACTTAAATGGTTCCAGTCCTATCTGACTGAGAGAACCTTTTCTGTTCAATTTGGCCAGTTCTCCTCTCAAGCGTCCAATTTAAAGTGTGGAGTGCCCCAAGGCAGTATTTTGGGCCCTACCCTATTTTGTCTTTACATGCTTCCCTTAGGAGCTATATTTGAGAAGCATAATATTTCCTACCACTGCTATGCTGATGATGTCCAAATATATCTGCCCATTCAGACTAGCAGCTGTGTACAGACACTTGTTGATTGTTTGAAGGAAGTTCAGGAATGGATGCAAGATAACTTCCTTAGTTTAAACAACAGGAAAACAGAAATACTTACCTTTGGGACTTCTGACCCTCTGCTGAACTGTGACAGTGCTATAGGACCTCTTATGGTTTATGAAAAGCCCCACGCCAGGAATCTAGGATTTATTATTGACAGCCATTTTAAATTTGATAAGCAGATAAATGCTGTTCTTAAAACAAGTTTTTATTATCTCAGAGTTCTTAGCAAAGTAAAATCTTATATTCCACATGCCCATTTTGAGAAGGCCATTCATGCTTTTATCACTTCCAGGCTTGATTATTGTAACTCTCTCTATGTCGGCATTGACCAGGCCCAGCTCAGCCGCTTACAGGGAGTGCAAAATGCAGCAGCCCGTCTTTTAACAGGGACAAAGCGCAGGGAGCACATCACTCCTGTTTTGCAATCACTGCACTGGCTCCCGGTATATTTTAGAATTCATTTTAAAATTCTTATTATCGTTTTTAAAAGTTTTAATAGAATGGCACCTTCTTATTTATATGAACTCCTCCAGCCTCACCTTCCCTCCAGAGCACTGCGCTCTGCAGATCAGCACCTTCTTGTCGTCCCTAGGACCAGGCTGAAGACCAGAGGAGACAGAGCTTTCTCTGTTATAGGGCCAAAGTTGTGGAACTTTTTACCTTTGCACATCAGAACTGCACAATCACTCGAGCACTTTAAATCCCTGCTTAAAACGCATCTTTTTTCTTTGGCTTTTACTACCAAGTAGACAGAGACAAATTTTTCGATTTCTTTTTGTATATACATTTCTGTATTTTATGTGTTTTTATTTTAGAATTTTTTCCTCGCTGTCTGTTCAGCACTTTGGTAAGCCTAGGCTGTTTTAAATGTGCTCTACAAATAAAGATTTGATTGATTGATTTGATTGATTTCTGGTTTGAGAGTCTGTTATCAAAAAACAAAGATAGGTAGAACGTTTTGAAATCGCATTCAAATCAATGAAGCGTTCTACTGCTGCTGTGAGGAACTGTATAATACATTATGATTAAATATTAGAATATTTAAATAATAATTTCATTAATTTGAACATTATTAATTCTGCTCGATAGAAGTGGGCTGAAGCTTATGTAAGGTTAAATAAGGGACAAGGTCGGACAACAGAGCCAGGCCCTGAGCTGTGTAAACATTCAACCAAAAGGAGGGAGACATCCCACTGCTGCTTCAAAGGAACAGCGAGGTCGACCGGAGGACTGCCATTGATCATGGGGATTACAGGCGTCAAACAGAGCAATAAAGTCACCATGGGAATAAACACCTCTATCTCTGCCTGCCTGTAGAGATCAAAGATCACAACTCTGCTCTCACTCCCGGGACCTTCCTGTCCCTGGACAATCAACGACTCACCCACGGCGTTATGGCGCCCCCCAGCGGATACCGGACACTATCACACCCGAGGCGGACACTCGAAACGGACATTCCCCGATGACATTATGTTGATAACCGTTACGGACACTACTCGTATGTGGCGTTGTCTGTGATGTGAATGCACTCTCGCTGTCGGAGACGAGGGCCTTCTATCGCCAGCCACTTTCGGGCTCCCTGGAACACCCCACCGCAACGCTATTCTAGACCGTGTTGTGTGTGGAATCCACGCCTGGATCCGATCTGCTGGCTTCCTCCTGCTCCCTGTTCGAACAAAGACCACGTGGACGAGGACATCGCCTCCATCCTATTCTTCATTCTCATCCTCCCATCTCCATTCTCCATTCTCCTCTTTTCATCAACATCTCCCTTGAACGGCTCAAAGTAAGACTGTTCTTTTGTTGGAGTGTGATTCAAATGAGATGTATGCAACTTCTGTTTAATGTGACCAGAAATCCCCTTCGTTATATTTTCCATCTTTAATTTTTGTAGTCAATAAATTCACGTTAACTTTAACTCAATCATTTAAGCGTCGTGTTGTTAAGTTTTGGATATCTCTGGCTGATTTTACGCATTCACTACCTATTAGATTATAAGACTGACTCGAGGCAAAGTTAGTTTGGATCTGTGCAGACTTTTTCAAACTCTGCTGGTACCATAAAAATTAAAGCAGATCCTCACTGGTGTGCAACGGCGAGCCCCTGATCCGGAGACCCGCCGATCCACACTACCAAATTTATACTACAATAACATAATCAGTAATATTATTACCCTACACTTATGAGCACCCCAACCCCCAAACTCAAAACACATTACAATAAATAGTACAGAACAAGGTAACTAAAGCACCCAAACAAAATACATATTCACATCCTTGATTATGGAATATTCCACAGTCAACCATTTCAACAGTAAGAGTTTGCAGAAACTGACTCAGCAGCAGTTACAGCAGTTGTATGAAGCAGCAGGGGAGAGCTTCAATAGAAGACAGTACAATGTGTGACCCAAATTACAATTGGTGTCTGAGTGCTCTGGTCCCCCACAGTGTCCCATCCTGTGTCTCATGGGAAAATAAAGAAAAAGGGAAACCAAAATGTAGGACTGAAAATCAAATGTAGTTTAATAAATTAAATCCATGGTAATGTCAAAACACAAAAACTCCAGAACTGAAAACAAGACAGGCTAAACATGGTAGAGACAATGGACGGACAACAAGTGGAGAAAAGCACAGGGTTTACATTAGGAGTGTGACAATATATCGATATGGTGATGTATCGTGATACTTTCTCACGCAATCAATATGCTTTTGCTAAGTATCGATTTTTAACAAAAATACATAATATATGGCTACATTACGCATTCTACAATTTCTGTAAAATGTTCATATTGATTTTATTGGATGTGAGACAGATTAAGTCAGATTTTTACTAAAATCAAACTACAAGAGACAAATAAAGTGAAATAAAACCAGGTCAAAATGGTTAAAAAGTCCACACCATGACATCCTGAGGTTGCTTTAGAGCAGCTTCACTCCTCTCTGCTGCCTGGTGGACTGGGGACACATCTTCAATTATATAAATGGGTCAGATTTTACCAAAACAAATCAATAATGGCTTCAGAAGATGTCTCTGAGTGAAGAAATCCATAGAGCAAATCCTCAAGGTCATAGGTAAGGTAATTGTTGTTCTATATTGACATTAATAGCAGCTATAAACGTTCAGCCTGGATCAATGAAAAGTGTATAATTTCAAGATAATTGTAGCGGCAACCCCGACCAAATGAAGGGGTAACTCTAAGGAAAGTAACGTCAAGGTAATCAATGCGCTCAAGCTCCAAGGTCGACGATAATTCCTGCTGCAGTGGATGTATTGTAGCAGACAAGAACATGGTTGTAAGGATTTTTAAAAAAGGTGAAACGGTTAGATTGGGTTTCCTCAATTATACACAACTAATTGACTTGGAATCATCTTAAAATTGGGTCATGAAGTTTTCTAGAATTTGACAGCAGCTCCAACATGACATATGTGATAGCATTTAAAGGTTGGGGTTAGTGCATTAATTTTTCATAAATAATACCAATGTTTTTTGTTTGTTCCCGTCTCGTGAAAGTAAAAAGTTGAGAATCAGGACCATAACATGCTGGTCATCATCTATTAGATTTAATTTATCAAGTTTGCATATTTGTGAGACCAACCACGCCACCACTAAATTTCAGCGAGGCCAGCTGCCACACCACCCCATCACGCACACACACCCCCCCCCCCCCCCCCCCCCCCCCCCCCCCCCCCCCCCCCCCCCCCCCCCCCCCCCCCCCCCCCCCCCCCCCCCCCCCCCCCCCCCCCCCCCCCCCCCCCCCCCCCCCCCCCCCCCCCCCCCCCCCCCCCCCCCCCCCCCCCCCCCCCCCCCCCCCCCCCCCCCCCCCCCCCCCCCCCCCCCCCCCCCCCCCCCCCCCCCCCCCCCCCCCCCCCCCCCCCCCCCCCCCCCCCCCCCCCCCCCCCCCCCCCCCCCCCCCCCCCCCCCCCCCCCCCCCCCCCCCCCCCCCCCCCCCCCCCCCCCCCCCCCCCCCCCCCCCCCCCCCCCCCCCCCCCCCCCCCCCCCCCCCCCCCCCCCCCCCCCCCCCCCCCCCCCCCCCCCCCCCCCCCCCCCCCCCCCCCCCCCCCCCCCCCCCCCCCCCCCCCCCCCCCCCCCCCCCCCCCCCCCCCCCCCCCCCCCCCCCCCCCCCCCCCCCCCCCCCCCCCCCCCCCCCCCCCCCCCCCCCCCCCCCCCCCCCCCCCCCCCCCCCCCCCCCCCCCCCCCCCCCCCCCCCCCCCCCCCCCCCCCCCCCCCCCCCCCCCCCCCCCCCCCCCCCCCCCCCCCCCCCCCCCCCCCCCCCCCCCCCCCCCCCCCCCCCCCCCCCCCCCCCCCCCCCCCCCCCCCCCCCCCCCCCCCCCCCCCCCCCCCCCCCCCCCCCCCCCCCCCCCCCCCCCCCCCCCCCCCCCCCCCCCCCCCCCCCCCCCCCCCCCCCCCCCCCCCCCCCCCCCCCCCCCCCCCCCCCCCCCCCCCCCCCCCCCCCCCCCCCCCCCCCCCCCCCCCCCCCCCCCCCCCCCCCCCCCCCCCCCCCCCCCCCCCCCCCCCCCCCCCCCCCCCCCCCCCCCCCCCCCCCCCCCCCCCCCCCCCCCCCCCCCCCCCCCCCCCCCCCCCCCCCCCCCCCCCCCCCCCCCCCCCCCCCCCCCCCCCCCCCCCCCCCCCCCCCCCCCCCCCCCCCCCCCCCCCCCCCCCCCCCCCCCCCCCCCCCCCCCCCCCCCCCCCCCCCCCCCCCCCCCCCCCCCCCCCCCCCCCCCCCCCCCCCCCCCCCCCCCCCCCCCCCCCCCCCCCCCCCCCCCCCCCCCCCCCCCCCCCCCCCCCCCCCCCCCCCCCCCCCCCCCCCCCCCCCCCCCCCCCCCCCCCCCCCCCCCCCCCCCCCCCCCCCCCCCCCCCCCCCCCCCCCCCCCCCCCCCCCCCCCCCCCCCCCCCCCCCCCCCCCCCCCCCCCCCCCCCCCCCCCCCCCCCCCCCCCCCCCCCCCCCCCCCCCCCCCCCCCCCCCCCCCCCCCCCCCCCCCCCCCCCCCCCCCCCCCCCCCCCCCCCCCCCCCCCCCCCCCCCCCCCCCCCCCCCCCCCCCCCCCCCCCCCCCCCCCCCCCCCCCCCCCCCCCCCCCCCCCCCCCCCCCCCCCCCCCCCCCCCCCCCCCCCCCCCCCCCCCCCCCCCCCCCCCCCCCCCCCCCCCCCCCCCCCCCCCCCCCCCCCCCCCCCCCCCCCCCCCCCCCCCCCCCCCCCCCCCCCCCCCCCCCCCCCCCCCCCCCCCCCCCCCCCCCCCCCCCCCCCCCCCCCCCCCCCCCCCCCCCCCCCCCCCCCCCCCCCCCCCCCCCCCCCCCCCCCCCCCCCCCCCCCCCCCCCCCCCCCCCCCCCCCCCCCCCCCCCCCCCCCCCCCCCCCCCCCCCCCCCCCCCCCCCCCCCCCCCCCCCCCCCCCCCCCCCCCCCCCCCCCCCCCCCCCCCCCCCCCCCCCCCCCCCCCCCCCCCCCCCCCCCCCCCCCCCCCCCCCCCCCCCCCCCCCCCCCCCCCCCCCCCCCCCCCCCCCCCCCCCCCCCCCCCCCCCCCCCCCCCCCCCCCCCCCCCCCCCCCCCCCCCCCCCCCCCCCCCCCCCCCCCCCCCCCCCCCCCCCCCCCCCCCCCCCCCCCCCCCCCCCCCCCCCCCCCCCCCCCCCCCCCCCCCCCCCCCCCCCCCCCCCCCCCCCCCCCCCCCCCCCCCCCCCCCCCCCCCCCCCCCCCCCCCCCCCCCCCCCCCCCCCCCCCCCCCCCCCCCCCCCCCCCCCCCCCCCCCCCCCCCCCCCCCCCCCCCCCCCCCCCCCCCCCCCCCCCCCCCCCCCCCCCCCCCCCCCCCCCCCCCATTTTAGGCCAATTGAGACTGTGTGTGTTCCTCGCACCAGCTCAAAAATGTTTTTAAATTCCCCTAAAAAACGAAATCAAAACAGGACAGCAGTTAGACGGTCCAACCCTGCAAATCTAATTTCTGTTCCCTGTAGAAATCAATCAACCACATTAATCGACTCTGACGTTATTTTTAAACTTGCTATGCTTAATGTCAGATCTCTATGTAACAAATCATTTTTAATTAATAATTTTATCACTTCTTATGATCTTGATTTTATGCTTATGGCTGAAACATGGCTGGACCAAAATACAGGAAATGCAGTTCTAATAGAAGCAACACCACCCAATTTTAAATTCGAATCCGAAATACGAGAAAACAAAAGGGGGGGAGGCATAGCTGCAGTTTTTAGAGAGCACTTTGTCTCCCATAGAATGCCCCTTGGAAATTTTTCATCGTTTGAGTATATTTCTTTTAAAATGGAACAAAAGCAATCTTCTACTCTTTTCATTGTCCTGTACAGGCCACCACAGTCATGTTGCGATTTTATTGACCATTTTACTGAACTACTTTCATTCGTGTGCACAGATTTTGATAGTTTAGTTATTACAGGTGATTTTAATGTACATGTTGATAATGTTGATGACAGAAATGCAAAGGAGCTGGCTTCTGTATTTGAGACCTTTGGTTTCATTCAGCACGTGAGTGGCCCCACCCACAGCAGGGGGCACACTCTTGACCTGCTAATTACAAAGGGGGTTAATGTATCAAATGTTAATGTAGTTGATGTTGCTTTGTCAGATCATTTCTGTGTATTTTTTGACATGTGTTTTGCTAGCAAACCACCAGCTGAATTTACAACTGTTAGAAGAAGACACATACATGAAAACACAAGTGAACTGTTCATGGGAATGCTAAATTTTGAGAAAACTCCATGCTCTACTGTTGATGAATTGTATAACTCTGTCACCACCAGTGTTCTGACTGTTCTGGACGCCATTGCTCCTGTGACGGTTAAAATAGTTACCAGTAAGAAAAAGGCCCCATGGACTAAGGCAGACTCGGTTAGGGCACAGAAGCAAGAGTGCCGGAGGGCCGAACGGAAGTGGCGAAAGTCCAATTTCCAGGGCGATTATGAAATCTTTAAAGATGAGTTGGGTGAATTTAACCGGGTTCTACGTAGAACAAGAGAAATGTATTTTTCTGACATTATTGGAGGTTGCAGTAACAATTTTCGTGTTATGTTTTTTTCAACAGTTGGTAGATTAACGAACCCCCCTGTAAAGTTGCCCCTAGAATTTTCCTCTAAATCTAGGTGTAATGAGTTCGCACAGTTTTTCGATGACAAAGTACAAGGAATCAAAAACACTATCACCTCCACAGCACGTATAACAATGCAACAGCCAGAGAAGCTTTCTGAGCTAACTCACTTTGCACCTGTGGATACTGAAACTGTCAAAAAGATAATCATGAGTCTGAGCTCCTCCACATGTAGCCTGGATATATTGCCCTCTAAATTTCTGAAGTCCGTCCTGAGCAGTTTGTTACCTTCACTGACACAAATAGTAAACATGTCTCTGTCGTCAGGAACATTTCCTATGGCCCTAAAAACAGCAGTCATAAGACCTCTCCTAAAAAAGAGCAGTCTGGATCCTGCGGGACTTCAAAATTATCGCCCCATATCGAATCTGCCGTTTATTGGAAAAATTCTTGAAAAAGTGGCCTCCCAACAACTTACTGAATTTTTAACAATGAATAATTCTTTTGATATGTTCCAGTCTGGGTTTAGACCCCACCACAGCACTGAGACCGCTCTAGTGAAGGTAACAAACGACATTCGACTTCACACTGATGCAGGTAAAGTCACAGTTTTGGTCATGTTAGATCTTAGTGCCGCGTTCGACACTGTCGACCATGAGATCCTCATGCAGAGACTGGAGGACTGGGCTGGTGTCACTGGCACAGCCCTAGACTGGTTTAGGTCTTACCTGGAGGATAGGAAGTACTCTGTGGAGATTGGAGACTGCGTCTCAGATGATGTGGCCCTGACCTGTGGTGTACCACAGGGGTCGATCCTGGGACCTCTCCTATTTAATCTCTACATGCTGCCGTTAGGTCAGTTAATACAAAGAAACAAAGTGTCCTACCACAATTACGCTGACGACACTCAGATCTATGTCTCACTGACTGCAGGAGAACATGGACCACTGGATTTGCTCCTTCACTGTATCCAACAGATCAGTGACTGGATGCAAAATAATTTCCTCCAGCTAAATACAGACAAAACCGAAATCATTGTCTTTGGTCCCCAGAAACAAAGAGAGGGCGTCATTTGTCAACTTCAGTCTCTCTCTCTACTTCCTTCAGACAAGGTCAGAAATTTGGGGGTAATACTGGACTCAGACCTAAATTTCAATAGCCACATAAAATCAATAACATCAACAGCTTTTTACCATCTGAAGAACATTGCCAAAGTTAGAAATATAGTGTCCAGGGCAGACTTGGAGATTCTTGTCCATGCATTTGTCTCCAGCAGGCTAGACTACTGCAATGGCCTGCTTACAGGTCTGTCCAAACAGACCTGTAAGCAGCTGCAGTACATCCAAAATGCAGCAGCTAGAGTCCTGACAGGAACCAGGAAGTATGACCATATTAGTCCGGTCCTCAGGTCTCTGCACTGGCTTCCTGTGGCTCAAAGAATAGATTTTAAAACGGCTCTGCTTGTGTACAAGTCTCTCCATGGCCTTGCACCAGAATACATTAGTGACATGTTGGTGTCATATGAACCAGCCCGGACTCTGAGGAGCACAGGGACTGGCCTCCTGCTGGTGCCCAGAGTGAGAACCAAACATGGGGAGGCTGCGTTTCAGATCCATGCAGCTAAGATCTGGAACAATCTCCCTGAAAATGTGAGGGAGGCGTCTACTCTGTCAATGTTCAAATCCAGGTTAAAAACTGTTCTGTTTGCCTGTGCATACAACTGAAGGATTTTATCTCCATTTTTAATGCACTGCTGTCATTTATTTATTTATTTAAATTTCTTGTGTAATTTTGAAAGTTTTAATGGTTTTATTCTTTTGTGTGATTTTAATGTTTTAATTGTGTTTTAATCTTTTGTGTGATTTTAATGTTTTAATTGTGATTCTGGTGTTTGTTTTATGTGATGATTTGTGATGTGGACTGTGAAGCGCTTTGTGTTGCCCTGTGTATGAAAGGCGCTCTACAAATAAACTTTGATTGATTGATTGATTGATTGAAGTCTGATGTGAGAAATGCACCAACTGAGAAAAACTGTTTCTTATTTTGTAGCATTTAAAATAAATTAAATCTCACCAACAATCGATCTTTCCACATGGTGAAGTGGTGATAAAGTGGTTTAGCGACTTCAGTGGTGGGACAGTAATATTAAAGATGCTAGTAACAATTACATGCAGTAGAAAATGTAAAGATTTAATCAAGTAGCATATTTGTTTTATTTAATTCAATGTAAATTTAAACATTAAATTACTTTGCAAGTTTGTTTTCTATTAATTCACTTTTTATCATTATTATTTTTTAACTACAGTCAGCATGATGACACTAGTTTTAACTCATTTTAACTAAGCAGATCCTCCCCCTCTCCCGAAGAAGACAAAGTAAAGTGGTTCAGCAACTTCAGCTCAGCCTGTCATAATGGCCTTATTTACATAACAAAGTTGGCCGTTCACAGGTGATTTAGTTTGTTAGCTAAAATCCTTGGAGTCATTTGGCACTGTGGTGGGCTTTTTAGGTAGAGAATGTTAACATTCTGTGTATTGATCATGCATATTTTGATTTCATGTGCAGCCTCACATAATGTATGTGTATTATCGATTATATTTCTGATCTGACATATCACAGTAAACTCAGATCCAATCGTTTCAATCTGCAAAAGGAGTTAACCCCTCCCACCTGTTCACGGAGTCAATGGAGCACCTCCAGACCTTAGTATGAAATGTAATTTGTACTATGGTATGGTACGACCAGGCTACGGGAGACCCAGCACCTCCCACGTGTCATCTCACTGGGCCTCATGTATGAAAATTGCGCAGAAAAAGGTGTACATTTTGGGTGTAGATCCCAGATACGCAAGATCTGACGTGGCATTTATGAACGTGTGAGATACGCACAGATCTGAGCGTACGCACCTGCGGCTGTTGATAAATGCAGCGCTCAAAACCAGCGTATTTATGAAAGTCACGACCATAAATATTCAGTAACTGCCTTTTCCACGCCCTGTTTTTGTGACAGGTCAGCATGAAGTCGTCTAAGAAGCCGCAAAAAGCACACACTTTTGAGTTTATTCACGTAAAAAAACCAAAAAAAAACGCTATATTATATATACACTTTTTTCCCTAGTGTCAAGACCCACTGCAGCACTCATCTCTCCTGAAATGTCGATGTAAATAAATAAATAATAAATGACCTGAATGAATTAATGAACTATACTGCTGGTGCGCGTCGCATCCTGTCTCTGCTCTGCGGAGAACAGGGCAGTGCCTGAGACAGTTTTGAGCAAGATCAGATGCATTTATGGGGCTTTATGCACAAAACTAAGGAAAACCCACATTGCTTTGCCAGAGTTGAATGAGGCAAAACATATGCGTATGCGTGTACATGCATGTGTAAAAATGAATAGTCCATCGGTCCATGCGTTAATGGAGTCTGTGTGAGGCTTACACAAATCTAATGAAAACACACATCGCTTTTCCAGATGTGAATGAGGAATACAAATAGCCGTGCGTAATTACGCAGCGCAGAGCCTGCCACAGCAATAGCTGGGTCACACATCCCTGTCGCGTAAAGTGTATTTGTTTAGAGCCTTTCACAGTCCAGGATCACATTTTAAAAACATACAGATCAAAATAATACACACAGAAGTCAGATTTAAAATCATAGAAACAGAAGAGGCTCCTCATCATGATCTGTGATTTATTCGAAGTTTGCGTGTTTCCAGTGTTTTAGACTTTTTCTGATGCGCACATTCAAATTCCGAAACATG